CTGAGATCTGTTGTACACGGGTAGAGGATTCCATGTTGGGGGTACTCACGACGACGAGATTCTGATCTCGGCGGATCCTTGTGGTGGCTTGGGCCATCTCGGCGGCGGACAGTTGGGCCATCGCGATGATGGCTTGCGTGATCTTCTCTGTTGCCCAGGCACTAAAATTGAGTCCATCTCTTGGCCGTATGACCACTTTGTAGTCGTCAACTGGGAGTGGTGACAGCCTCTTCTGGCGCAGGACCTGCGTTCGCTTCCATCGGCTTCTGTTTTCTTGGATATAGAGGAAACCGGAGCCACCTGTTCCCTGACGGGTATCCCCGTTTGGCTCCATGTTGCCCGTCGGGCGATTCCCAGCTGCCGTCATCTTGTCGGCTACGGTGTAGTTGTTAATCTCAGCTGCTTATGCCTTTTCTCTCTCTAGTTGGAGTTGTCGCTTTCAGGCTCATCGGCTGACCACATCCGTCCAGGAAAATTGATCTTTTCCCTCCTGTTGATGTCGAGGGTCATCGGTTTTGGGAAGTGTGGTGCCGTCGCTCAGGCCGAGGCCTTCACCAGGATGGGTCGCACCTGGTTCTTCAGTTTCATCATCCTCACCAGTCTGCAGGCGCGGGGGTTTCGTGATAGCACTCTCCATTCGGTTGGGAAGACCCGTCCACAGAAAGAGGCGCGCCGCTCGTAGAACGAGACTCGAGCGAGCCGATCTCTCGGCGGACGGGCGGCGGCGGGCCAACGATGCGAGGCGGTGTTTATACCAGGGTCACGTTTTTCTCCGGGGTTTGAAGAGCCCAGAGAAGTCGACCGCTCTCGTTGGCGCCTGGAACGCGTCTGCCGTGTGGTCCGGGTCTCTGTTTGGAGTCGCTGCTTGGCACCGGCTCTTCCGTATGTCTCTGCCTTCGCAAGTGCAGCTCACACACACACCACGAGCGATCGCCTCTTCTTTTCCTCTTCGCCGCTCTTGGCGCCGTCCCTCCGCGTGCTGTGTGGCTTATTGTCCCCCAGAAAGTGAGGCAGTGTTAGCACTAGCTTCGCCCGGCAAACTATGTTTTCAAACTTGAGCATGCGTAAGCTAGGTTGCACAAGCGGCCGCCCGACAAAAAGTGCCCTGCATCAATCGTTCATCCGGTTTTGCATCATTTTTTCCGCCGTCTCTCGTTTCTTGCTCTCGTTGTTGTCTCGCGTCTTTTTTAAAAAAAAGTGAAAGCCGTTTACAACTCCCTGTAAAACCGAATTAGAGCGCAGCTCCTGAGCACGGTGTAAGAGGACTTAGGTGAGGACACTTCGGCGGCCAAGGAGAGGAGGATGCGACCAGATAAGGTCACGCGTCAAAAACATTTCGCCAAGTTCCCGGTAGATGGCGCCTTCGATCCGTTCCCCACAGGTTCCCCACGGTTCTCCGCTGTTCCCCAGCGCGCGCGCGCATGTCTCGACAACAACAACGTGAGCAGTCGGGTGACTCTTTCGTTTGTGTTTCGGACCCTCAGACTCTGTTGACGTGACCTTCTATGAAGTTCGCTGCACCCAAACACCCCCAAGATGGGTCGCAAGTGCTTTGCGCCGAACTGCAACAGCGGATACCGTTCATGCAAGGAGAAGGTGAACGCGTTTCGGGCGCCTTCCGATCCGGAACGTTTAGCCTTGTGGGCTCGTGCCATTCCGAGAAGTGACCGGCAGCTCACACCAAAAGACTACCTGTGCGAAAAACACTTTGCCCACGGTGCGATAAAAACTAGATGGTATTGCGCAGAGCTAGGGGGTGAAGTGCTTCTTGACCAGCCAAAGAGGCCTGTTCTAGCGCCGGACGCCGTGCCGTATATTTTCCCGGGATGTCCGCCTTACCTGTCGTCGACAGCGAAAAAACGAAAATTGCCGAAGAATAGACAGCGCGCACGTGCAACTGTTGTCAAGCGAAGGAAGACGGAGCTGCAGGACGAACGTAATGAAGGCACCCATTTTAATGGAACGACTTCAAACGTGGGGACCGAAGAGCCGTCAGCTGATCGCGTGGAGCCCGGGATCGCCGCGTGCACTGCTGGAGACGCCGAAGCAGATACTGTCGGGGAGCCTTCGACGCGCATGGTACGGAAAGACGACTTCATAAATGACATCCCAGCCAAGGTTCCCGAAAAGCCAAGTAAGGACAGTGTGCCCTTCCGCAGCGTGCTGCCCGAGAAGAGCGCAATTGTGGGATACGGCCCATTCGTCACATGTCGATTCGTCATAGGGCAACTGGTAACAGGCCCGTTCGTCACAGCGGAACATTGGTCATATGGCGATTCGTCACGCTAGCAGTTTGTCACACAATGACTTCAAGATTGTTAAACTTTTTTTTTTTATATCTTGTTTTCTTAGGAAAGTTACGAAAGGGGGCCACTTAATTAAATCCGTGCAAGGCCAGTGAGGTTGACTACGGGAAACAAATTATGTCCCAATGACCCCAACTTAAGGCAGCATGCAGGTTTTGGCCTGCATGTTGTCCTTATCGGTGTCACCTTTCTTACAAAAGAACTTCGAGAACATAAAGTCACAATAGAAAAAAGCACACCGAACGCGATTCTTTTTTTTTTTTTTTTGTGTGTGCCCCGTTTCAGGGTTTATTATGCCGGTTGCCATCCGATTATAAAAATATCACTCTCGATTTCTAAATGGAGGTAGTTACTACTAAGAAAGGTGGCGATATGCTTCTTCACGAAGGACATTCCTACACTTGCATTAAGGTCTACGAAACTGCGTTGTATTGGGCCTGCCGGCGAAGAGAAGTTTGTAAAACTAAATTAGTCACCGATCACGCCAAGACTCGTGTAATCTCTTATTCAGGAGACCATACGCATGCGTTTGACAACACCAAGATTAATGTGCTTGGGTTCGTGATCAGGTGAAGGAAAAAGCTGGTATGTACCAAAATCTGTTCCTGCTCTTATATTTCCAAAACAAGCTCACTAATGTCCTTTATTCCAGTGGAAGGCCGTCTAGCACCACACCAAACACTTCTAGCTGCGGTTGCCTTTGTCAGCGACGACACTGCTTTGCAGATTCCCGCACCGCCAACACTTCGGCGCACCATCCGCAAGCAAAGGCAACGGTCGAATTTGGAGTCCAGCGTATCATCTTGCAGAGCCGATATACGATCGAATGCCCACAGAGTTCAAAGTAAAGTGTATTGCAGCGCAAAATCACAGTGCGCGACATATTATGATAATAATGACTGTTTTACCTGCATGCAGACCACTGCCAAAGGAGACTCCTTTCTCCTCCACGATAGCGGAGAGGGCGACGGCGAAAGAATCCTGATATTTGCTACCGAGCGCAACTTGAGCTGTCTGGCTCAGGCGACTACGTGGTTCGCGGACGGGATCTTTAAAGTGACCCCGGCGCAGTTCTACTAGCTGTACACGGAGCATGCCAGAGTCAACGGCGTGGTAAAGTCAATTGTTTACAGCTTGCTGCCCAACAAATCTGAAGCTACCTTGAAAAGGTGAGCATTCAAGAGCTCTGATAAACGTATGAAACGGAACGCTCGGTGGTCCTATTATTGGATATGTGTTCAAAAACTTCAAGATATGTTCGCTCGTTTTACGGTCTTTCGACGTCGTTCTGAGTACATGGGGGGCAACTGCCTTGAGGTGGCTTACACGGACTTCAAGAAAGCGGTCATCAACGACACAGGGATGCTTTTTTCACTTATCCCAGTCGGTGTATAGGAAGGTGTGCTCCAGTGGTCACCAGAGTCGCTACAATTCAGATGACGAGTTTGCTGTTCTGGTATGCAGCATTCTATTTATTTGTCTTATTGTTGTCTTCAGGTAAGCCAATTGGTTACTTTATTTCTTGTTGATTTTCAAATGGGAATGCATCCAGCATTGGCCTTCTTGCCAATTGCCGACATTCTCGAGGTTTTCCCCACCGATGCCTCACTCGTGGCGGACTACTTCGAGGACGTGTATATCGGGAGACCCCGTCGAAACGGCTTGTCGTCGGCCACCTCCCCTCCTCGGGTTTGGTCAGTCAGAGAATCAACACTAGCAGAAAGGCCAACAAGGACGAACAACAGCATCGAAGCGTGGCTCCGGGGACAGCACGTAAGAACTTACTTAATCCTCTGAGAACTTGGGCGTTTTCTGTAGCACATTTTTGCATTTGTGGCTCAAAATTTCAGTACGGTGCCCAATCAAAAAGCTTTCTCTCTCAGAGTGGGCGTGTTCTTTTTTTATGTTTATCCTTAACAGAGATGCTGGCTCAAGCAGAGGGCGGCACGACATCTTCGAGGGTGTCCAAGAAGCACGACGACAGCAACCGGCGTCCTCAAATTATTGTGAGCCGCTACAATGGTCGCAATCGTCTAAAAACCCTAAGGGTGGCAGCTCGGCATATCGCTTTTTAATTTTTTTTTGTATTTCGCTTCATGAATCTATTGTTTTCTAAGTACAACGATGACTTGTTTGGATGTTCCCCCTCTTTAGTAAATTTAAATATACCGTACTAATCGTTATTGCATGCACAGCCAGGTGAATATATACTGGGCAAATTCAAATATCCGGTTCGCACAGTGACAAACGTTCCTAGGGACAAATTCCCCTATGACGAATGTTCCGCTGTGACGAACGGGCCGATTACCAGTTGGCCTATGACGAATGCGCACATGACAAACGGGCCTACACCCCGCAATTGTAGTGCCAAGTAAGGCATGGGCGTGTCACGAGGTTGACGCGGAAGGCCTTCAGAATCTCTGTTGCGTTGAGATGAAAAGCATGTCAGCAATTGAACCGCCATTTACCAACAAGATCCTCACTCTGGAGCAGTGCCGAAAGTCTTTGAGGGTTCGCCAATACGTCTTGGATCGCGCAGTTAACTCTGTGCTTCTTCAAGCAAAGTGCCCATCGCAAACTGCGCATGACATCATCGAAATGGTACATGCGTTTGACCAAAAGCCCGTCTGCGCGGGGGGTCCAGCGTATAAGAGGTTTCCTGGTATACACCCGGAGTGTGCATCCACTGACAAAATGGGAATGTGGAGACACAACCGATGTCCTCTACTTCTGAATGAAACAGAGCTGCGGTGCACTTTCTGTGCAAGCCTCAGTAACACCTTCCGTATTCACAAGGCAAGCTTGGACAAAAGAGGGAAAGAACAAAGGGTGAGGATGCCCCTGTCTCCTTCGAAAAAGAAGAAGATTGATATCTTGAGAAGGCAACGCATTGCATGCTCCAGGTCTAAAGTCAGGTTGCTAAAGAGAAACAGAGAGCTTGAAGCTGAATTGTCTATGTGCAAAAAAGATCTGGAACAGCTGAGCAGCGAGAAGTTGAATGATGTTTTGAAGAAGTTGGCACTGCCTGAACCTCAACAAATGCTGCTGCGCGAGTGCATATCAGCGGCTAAGTGCACTTCAAGTAAAGGAAGGCGCTACACAGACGATTGGTTACTTTTGTGCCTACTTCTGCACATTCGCAGCCCGGCTGGTTATAGACTGCTCAGGGAGAATGATGTGCTGCCCCTGCCGTGTGTGAAAACCATCCGCCGGTACATTGCCATTGTCGGAATCAAGTGCGGGTTCGATGTCAACTTCTTCGCAGTACTCAAAAGGAAGCTTCAAGGTAAATCAGAATTCCAAAGACATGGCATGCTGCTGTTTGATGAAATCCAGGTCAGGGAAAGAAAAGCTGTTAACTCGAAGACATTGAGTTACACCGGACTCGTCGACCACGGAGACACCGACCAGGAAAGCTCCGAGCTAGCCAATCACGGCCTAGTCTTTATGTTTTGTCCCTTCGGTGAGAGCTATGCGCAACCTGTTGCTGTGTTTGCTTCATGATCTGGAACCAAGGGGACAGTACTCTATCAACTACTGCTCCAGGCAATCACCTTGTTGGAAGGCGCAGGTGCTCTTATTGATGGCATAGTTTGCGATGGAGCGAGCCCTAACCGGACAATGTGGACACAGCTGGGTGTCAGTGGGAAGATAAACAACCCCAAACATTTCTTTTCGCATCCAATGGACGAGGATAGGAAAGTATACATATTTTCAGACGTCCCACACCTTTTCAAAAGTATAAGGAATCGGCTCCTCAGAAAACGCCTCCTGCAAGTAAACGGTCAGTGGGTCAACTGGTCGGACTATGCGGCAGTATACAAAGAAGACTGCAGAAATGCTGGGGAGCTGAAGGTGTGCCCCTAAGATAACACACCATCACATTTACCCCTCGAACATGGACCTCATGAGGGTAAAACTTGCTACCCAAGTCTTCAGCAGGGCAATGAAGTCGGGAATGGAGTACTACGGTGACCGAAAAGTCCCAAGCTTGTGGAACTGCACTGGTACAATGGCGTTTACACTTCGGTGTAATGATCTGTTTGATGCTATGAACAGGCAACACCCAGATGTTGGCATTCGGAAGGGAGGCAAGGACCTGATTGTCATCAAGGAAGCGATGGAGTGGCTTGATGAATGGGAGCGCGAGGTAGAGTCTGGGAAGATATCTAAGGACATGTTTCTGGCGCAAACGACGGCTGAGGGCCTCAGAGTGACAATGAGGTCAACAATTGATCTAACCAAACACCTTCTGAACAATTGTGGCTATGATTACGTTCTCACCGCCAAATTCAATCAAGATCCCTTGGAGAGGTTTTTCGGGAAAATCCGGCAAGCAGCATGCGAAAACGATCATCCCGACATGCCTACCTTTCTTCAATTGTATAGAATGTTAATGGTGTACAGCCTCCTCAAGCCTCCAAAATTTGGGAATTGTCAAGCACTGACCGGAGAAGCACCACAGCTAGACTTCTCATTTTTCAAAAGTACATTCAAGAACCAAGAAGGAGAGTATCGTATGTCGAGCCTGGAACGACTAAAGGAAAAAGTCGACGGTCTGATTACAACCGAAGCGTGGGAGTGTGATGAGGTTGTGGCCAGTGATGAGAGTCAACCTGAAGTGGTTGATTGCTTTGTATACTATGTTACTGGTTTCCTGTGCAGAAAACTAGGCAAGATGTTTTCGTGTGAAATTTGCAAGGACTCATTGTCTGTGTCTTCGGCAACACAGAAGGAAGCATCCCTGACCACCTGCAAGACACGTGGAGGGCTCATCCACCCGAATGTGCACTTCTACAGAATCCTTCATTGTGCAGAGAAGTACTTTTCGGAGCATATGAACGACCTAAATGTGTTCTGGGACACCCTCGATTATGTTCTTGAATCCTGTTACTTAACCTTTTCTTGCAGCCAGCACAAAAATGAGGCAGTGTCAAAGGTACTGCACTATTACGTTAGTATGCGTATGAGGCAGCACTGTAAAGCAGAAGCTAGAGACTCGGACAAAAATGCCAAAGAGAAAAAGAAGCAGGCGAGGCTTTGCAACGTGTGATGTGTGAAGTCTTTATGGCACCTTCCGAATTATGAAGCCTTTGTTGAAGTGAGTGAGAGGCCATTGATAGTAATGTGGAATGTAAATAAATTGGTTTTGAAGGCTACTTAACCAATCGTGATTTATTATTAAATAGAGACTGAAGCGGTTCTTGCAAAAAACGAGTTATAGGTGAATTGTAGAATACTTTATCCTGTGGATATGAATACCACATTCGTTTTCTCCGAAGATCTAACTAAATACCAAGAACCTCCGATCAGTCGTTACGTAATAAAAATATTTCGGCCGCAAAGCGCGTGTCGCTGGTGTGGGCAGTGCGTGCAATTGCAAGCCTGCCATGTATATTCCCCCGCAGTGACACCAGTCGTGATATCTTTTTCTTACCTTTTTGAAAATAGCAAGCGTGATAAGCGCCAAAGTTGCGTGAGAGCGAAGATTCCGAAAACTCCTTTTATAACGTAACGCTCGGGGAAGGAGGGGCTTCAGCGGTACTTTGAAAATTATTTTCTGCAGCCTCTATGCTCCAAATTGAAAAATAACCTCGATATTCGTGATCCTGGAGGCCAAATGAAGACGATCTAAGCGTTTTTACTCACATACAAAACCGCTTCAGTTTCCCTCGGCACTGCAATATTTTATTATGTACTTGTCTCATGCCCTTTCAACACTTCTACTCTAATTAAGTGTGTTCTGCTGTCTTGCACATAATGAGTCCCCATGTACAATCGCATGTTTTCATGGAAACATGCTACTATTACACATGGGTATCAGCCTGTTACATTATCCTATAGTTTTCGGTGCAGGGTTACCGAGCGTGTATGGAGTCGGACAAGAGGTCACAAAAGGATCGACATTCATAAGAGGGACCGAATCGTGATTTTCGTCCGCGTCGCACACACCATTTAATCGCAGCAGCGGTTAAATGGTGTGTGCGTGGCCATCTGAAAACTGTGGGCCATCTGAAAATGGGTGGGTCGATTAGTTCGCTAGTTCTGTGAATCATGCCTCATGATTCATACCTTAATTAGGGATCCGCGGGTTTTTGATGTTACACTGATTTGTCTGCGAACGCATCAAACGATTGAATACCGCATAAGAAAATTTAATTGGGAGCAGCCGGCATTCACGCACTGCCAGCGGCTGTGGAGCACAGCGTGAAGGAAAAAGCGCGAGGCGAAGCGGGCACCGGTCCGCGGCGCCATCTATGAACAGCCGTGAGAACTACAGCGGCGAGGGGACATAATCTCGTAGCGGGGAAGCACGCTCTGTCCTCACCTAAGTCTTCTTACACCGTGCTCCTGAGGAGGAGGAGGGAAGGGTACTGGGGGGGGGGGGAAGTGACCTGGGGGGGTCACGTGACGATGCCGATGATGTCATCAGTGACGTCACTGATGACGTAATCAGTGACGATGACGATGCGGACTCCGATGACGTCATCAGCGATAATGACGATGCGGATGTCGGTGACGTCATCAGTGACGTCACTGATGACGTCATCCGTGATAATGACGATGCGGATGCCGGTGACGTCATCAGTGACGATGACGTCATTGGAGAGGTCACGTGACCTACCTCGGGGGGTGTCACGGGACTTCGGGGGGTCACGTGACCTTGGGGTGACCGTGGGGGTCACATGACCTTGTGGTGATCTTGGGGGTCACGTGACCCTGGGATGACCTTGGGGGTCACGTGACCTTGGTTACGCCGACGCCGACGCCGAAGGCGACGGCGACGCCGCTCAAGCCGGGAACGGGCCCCTAAGAGCTGCGCACTAAAAAATGAAAGCCGTTTACAACTCCCTGTAACGCCGAATTAGAGCGCAGCTCTTGAGGAGGAGGAGGGAAGGGTACTGGGGGGGGAAGGGGTGGGTCAAGTGACCTCGGGGGGCGGGGGGTCACGTAACCTTGGGGGTCACGTGACCTTGTGGGAGTCACGTGATCTTGGGGCGTCACGTGACGTCGGGGGGTCACGTAACCTGGGGCCACGTGACGATGCCGATGACGTCATCAGTGATGATGACGATGCGGATGCCGGTGACGTCATCAGTGACGTCATTGATGACGTCATCAGTGGCTATGACGTCAACGGGGGTCACGTGACCCCGGAGGGGTCACGTGACCTGGGTAACCATCGTGACCCTCGTGAGGGTAACCCTAGTAACCCTCGTGAGGGTAACTCTCGTGACCCTCGTGAGGGTAACTCTCATAACCCTCGTGACCCTCGTGAGGGTAACCCTCGTGAAGGTAACCCTTTTGAGGGTTACTTACCCTCGTAACCCTCGCGAGGGTTACGAGGGTTAGTTACTCTCGTGAGGGTTACCTTCACGAGGGTTACCCTCAGGAGGGTTACTTACCCTCGTAACCCTCACGAGGCTTAGTAACCCTCGTGAGAGTAACCCTCGTGAAGGTAACCCTTTTCAGGGTAACTAACCCTCGTAACCCTCGTGAGGGTTACGAGGGTAAGTAACCCTCGTGGCCCTCGTGAGGGTAACCCTCATGAGATTAATCCTCGTAACCCTCGTAACCCTCACGAGGGTTACGAGGGTTGCAATTACGCCGACGGCGACGCCGACGCCGACACCGACGCCGCTCAAGCCGGGAACGGGCCCCTAAGAGCTGCGCTCTAAAATTTCAACGATAGACTCGGGCATGTGCGAACGCTCCGACGCTAGCGTGCTGTGTACCAGCCATGCCGTCATGCTGTGAAACGCCCCGCAGGGGGCACCTGTGAAAGCAGGTGTTTGGAGAGTGGCGTCTCCACGGACCCTGAGCCCCGCAGGGGGCGCCTGCACCTTAGGTGCTAGGTGCTTGGTGAGTAGCGTCACCACGGACCCCAGCCACGTTGGCTACATAACGGACCCTGAGTAACAAGTGGGTAAGACCCACCCACGTCTGGCTGTGCGTGGCGAGCCCGTGTCCAGGGAAAAGGGCATCCTGGTGGTTGAGCTGAGCCCGGGGTAGGTTTGGACCCTTCGGGGCCCCCCGAGCGAGGCAACACACCACTTTGGCCCCTGCTTCCTGTAGACGGGAGTCCTGGTAAGGCCCGGCCAGGATGATTCAGTCTAGTCGCCTTTTCTTCTACTATCCCCTCCAATCTTTTACCTTTACCTTTCCTGCTCCCTTTATTTCTCTCTCATTTCTCTTCCTCCTTTTTCACCCCTCTTTGGCGGCAAGGGCTAACCTTGGGTGGCAATAGACCTCTGTCTTGACCCACACTTGGGTATAGTTTCCCGGCAGCACTGTTAGCGTAACGTCTCCAGCCAAGCCCTTCTTGTTATGGTGCGTTACCTAACCCCTTGTTGGGCTCGGTGGTGGGCGGTGCACCGCGGATTCTGAACATTCTTTGCCCCTCTTATGGCACCCCTCCGTTCTAAACCCTCTGATCGGCCCCTGAAAAGGGGTCGGACCGAAGTAAAACTGAATGATAAGTCTTCACCGGTACAGAACACTTT